ACGGGGGATGGCAGCGAGGGACACGGGCTGTCACCCCGCTAGTGTCGCCCCGCTGTGTCACCCCCGGGTGGCACAGCAGCCGGGGTCACGCCCTGGGCAGGGCTTCCCCCTGCTCTCATTTTGGGGTGTCCGAGCCCTCTGAACCCCCCAGTGCCACCCCGTGCTTTGGGGACACCYCGCCTGTCCGTGTCCTGGTGTGACAATGAACGTGTGACCTGCCTTCGAGGTGGGGAGAGCTCAGCGACAGGTGCCACGTGAGGGGACACGGTGGTGGCTTTGTGGTGTCACCACTGGGGRTGTAGSTTGRTTTGSGGACACTGTGGAGGSTTTGGGGTGTCRCAGCTGGGGACATTGGACAATGCTGGGGACACTGGTGATGTGGGGTGTCACCACTAGGACCATGGGACTATGTTGGGGACACTGATGGCTGTGAGGTGTCACCACCAGAGATGTGGATTGGTCTGGGGACACTGTGGTGGCCTTGGGGTGTCATCACCGCACTCAGGGCCTCGGTGGGTGACCCCAGGATGCGTGTGGGGACCTGTCCGGTGGCCGGGGCGTGGTGGCCGCGTGGCTCTGCACGTCCAGTGGCCGTGGCTGTTTCCTGCTGTTAATCACCGCTAATTGGCTTTGCCCTGCGGGCCCATGGCGGGGGGAGTTTGGGGGGGTCACGGGGGGTGTAAGAGGATTTCTCTGCTCCTTCCTCCGGCTCGGCCATCCCGGGGTCCCGCTCCCTGCCCGCCYGCTGCCCACCCGGCCCCGGCCCCATGCCACGCTCCCGCGGGGACAAGGGGACCCCCAAGGACACGGAGGCCCCACAGAAGGAGAAAGGGGGGCACGAGGTGGGGGAGAAACCCCCCAAAGCCCTCGACGACGGCGGCGGCCCCACAACCCCCAAGAATTCCGGCTCCGAGTCCCGGCATGGCGGCCACGGGCAGAAGAGTGGGAAGAAGGGTCCTGTGGACCCCCACGCTGCTGCCACCAAGACCTACTCGCCCTTCCTCAACACCGTCTTTGGCAAGGTGGGGACACTGCGAGGGGACGTGGGGGTGAGGGTGGGGATAGAGGGACCCTGGAAAGGGAGGGAATGTGGGGACAGTGGGAATGGGGTCAGGGATAGTCCGGGATCCTGCAGATAGAGGAGGGACAGGGGCTTTGGGGACATGGTCAGGGACCATAGCGCCCTGGCAATGGAGAGGATTTGGGGACAGTGAGGTGGGGACATGGGGTCAGTGAGGATAGGAATAATCCAGGACCCTGCAGATGGAGGGGATGTGGAGCACTTGGGACATGGGGACATGGAGACAGTGGGGATGGGACAGTGGGGCTGTTCCAAGGCCCTGTGGATGGAAGAGACTTGGGGACAGTGCAGGTGGAGACAGGGACAGTGTGGGACCCTCTAGATGAAGACAGCATTGAGGCAGTGGGGTTGGTCTTGGGAACAGTGGGATGGGGACAATGGGGATGTTCCAGAACCCTGGGGATAGAGGGACATGGGACCAATGAAATGGGGTTGGGACACTCCAGGACCCTGGGGATGGAGGGGACACTGGGCACTGGGGATATGGTCAGGGCCTCTCTGGGTCCCTGGAGATTGAAGGGACATGGGGCAGTGGGGACATGGTCAGGGCTACTCCGGGGACATGGGGACAGTGGGAATGGGCTCAGGGACCCTCTGGGGATGAAGCGGACATAGGGCAGTGACAACCGTCAGGGACACCCTGAGACTGTGGGAATAGATGGGACACAGGGGTGCTGGGGATGGTGCTGGGGACACCCAAGGGCCTTGGGGACAGAGGGGACATCCTGAGGGGACAACTTGGGCAGGGGCAACTGAGCTCTGTGCGGGGACAAATGCTGCTCCCGCTTCTGGGGTACAAACCCCTTGGCAGCATCTGTGGCTACCAGGCACATCCCATTGGGAGCCTGGGGGTGCTGGGGTGGGACAGCCCGGGGTGGGTGACAGGAGGTGGGACATCCCGGGGTGGGTGACAGGAGGTGGGACATCCCGGGGTGGGTGACAGGAGGTGGCACACGGGGACCAGGGCAGGGCGGTGCAGGTGGGGGGTGCAGGCACGGGGCAGGGCGGGGCTTTGCCTCCAATCCTGCTAATCCTCCGCCTGAGTTAATTTTGGCCCACGCTTAACGAAGGTGACACCGAGGTTTGGGGGGTGGAAGCGGGGGGTGGGACACGAATCCGGGTCGCTTTCTACTGTCACCCCCCTCATTGTGTGCCCCATGCAGGAGCGGGAGCTGTCACCGGAGGAGCTGGATGGTGAGCAGGGGGGATGGGCTGGGGACAGGGTGGGGACCGGGGYTCAGAGGAATGGGGTCACGGAGGGATCTGCCATGGGGATGTGGCCATGGAGGGCTCTCCCATCCACACCCAAAAAGGGACCTGCCCTGGGGTGACACGGTGTCTGTGTGACTCTCCACACCTGATGGTGTCCCTGTGCCCACCCATGGCCRTGCCCAGAGCTGCTGGACGCCTTCAAGGAGTTTGACACGGACCAGGACGGCTACATCAGCTACAAGGACCTGGGCGCCTGCATGCGCACGCTGGGGTACATGCCCACCGAGATGGAGCTCATTGAGATCTCCCAGCACATCAAGATGAGGAGTGAGTGGGGTCAGGGGGCCGGACGGGGACCGGGGGGTTGYTGGGGTGCTGAGTGTCCCTTCCCACCGCAGTGGGCGGCCGTGTGGACTTCGATGACTTTGTGCAGATGATGGGCCCGAAGCTGCGGGAGGAGACGGCGCACATGGTGGGCGTGAGGGAGCTCAAGATCGCCTTCCGCGAGGTATGGCCACTGCCACGGGGACAGCGGGCGTGGTGTCAGACCACAGGCATTGTGGGGACAAGGATGATGGGGGCATGGAGGGGACGGTGATTGTAGAAAGACCATGGAGTGACAGTGACCATCRGGGAGAGGGCCATGGGGTAACCAAAGACATGGAGGGGACACTGAGCATGAGAAGAACATGGTGGAGACATGATCTAGAGCTGACCACAGGCTTGAGAGAATGGTGACCATGGTGGGGAAACGATGACCGTGGGGTGACCACAGGCATGGAGAAAACTCTGACCATGGTGGGGAAACGATGACTGTGGGATGACCGCAAGAACAGAGGAGATAATGACCACAGGAAGGCAGGAGGTGACGGTGGGAGGTCCCTGCAGCCTGTGGGGAGGGTGACCCCCACCCCACGGGTGCCRCAGTTCGACATGAACGGGGACGGGGAGATCAGCACGGCCGAGATGCGCGAGGCCATCGCAGCGCTGCTGGGGGAGCAGCTGAAGGCGCAGGAGGTGGATGAAATCCTGCAGGATGTGGATCTCAACGGGGACGGGCACGTGGACTTTGATGGTGAGGAGATCTCCCTTCTCTAGGGGCTGTGGAGGCAGCTGAGCCCCGGGTCCCCTGACATCCCCTTCTCACTCCGCAGAGTTCGTGATGATGCTGTCRTCCCGGTAACGGAGCCACCGGGCAGGAGGGGACCCCCGGACCACCCCCCGGGCCCTCCTCAGCCCCTCCCTGCCCGGCCAAGCGACCCRAGAGCTCTGCCAACATCAGGATTCAGAGGAAACAGCTGGAGTGGAGCAYCTGGAGTGGGGCAGACACGAGACCCCCGACCCCAAAGGCCACCAGGGGTGGTGGCAGGGCCAGGGGGGGCGGGGGTCCTAATAAACCCCTTTGACCACAGCTGGAGGAGGGTGTCTGTGGGGAGGGATGTGGGGTCAGTGTCCCCCCTGCCAACCCAAACCACGCCGGGGGTGGGGGACAGAGGTGTCCTACGGGGCACACGGGGTTAAGGGGCAGGAGCACCTGGGGGCGTGGCGAGGGCGTGGCCCCGGGGTCAGACCGCGCCCTCCTATTGGCTGAATCCGCCCCGCTGCCAGCAGCCGGCCAATCAGCACATGCCAATTCAGGGTGGGTGGGAAGTGCCGGCCCTCTGGGAGCAGTCACTCAAACCAGTTGGCCAATCAGCRCGAGGGAGGGCACACTCTCAGCCAATGAGCACGCATGTCTCAATGCCAGCTGGCCAATCGGAGGCCACGTACGAGAAAAGGGCAAGGTATGGGGGCACCTGTGTCACTCCCAGATGGTCCTCACCATCCCTTGGGACATCACCACCCCAGGGAAATGCTCCCAGAGGATCCCAGGGAYACCCCTGCCACATATGTGTCCCCAGAGGTCTCCCAGACCAGGTGATTCCCCCCTGGCCAAAAGGGGTTCCTGGGAAGAGGTAGAGTCCCCCCAGAAAGTCACCCCAGCATCCCAAATCCAGTGAGGAACACCAGGGGTCACCTCCCATTCCCCTCCACCCTCCTTGGGGCTGCAGAACCTGGGGGGTGGACAAGGTGGCTCCTGTAGAATCCCAGAGAAGTCCCTATTTGGGTGATGCTTCTCAGATGCCCACAGGAATAGGGGTTCCTCCCCCCAAAATTAATCACAGGGAGGGGCTGGACCTGGCCCGACCCCAACCCAATCCCACAGAGCAGGCGCAGGGTTGGGGCATTCACAGATTTTAATTTAGTTCTTCTTCTGGAGACAAAAAAACCAACCCAAAAAAAAAAAAAAAATAAAATAAAAAGGCATCAAACGCCCCCAATTTTMGATTCGGAGGTGCAGAGACTCCCCCACAGTGCATCTCCCCACCCCTGTAGTGTTTGGGGGTGCAGGGATCCCACTGCGCCCTGGAGAGACCCCCCAAAAAAACCCAGGCCCTCCCCTTGCCCTAAACCTACAGGGAAGGCACCTCATGGGGGGTCCCCACGTGTGGGGGACACCCTGGGGAGGGTGGAGACCCCCCAAACTGGGGGCTGCGGGGGAGAAGGGGATCCCGATTGCTCTCTACATATATATAATATACACTTATAGAACAGGCTGGGGGGGAGTCTGGCCCCCCCGGACCCCAAAAGCACCCGAGCTCCTGGGGGCAAAGGGGAACGGGAATAAAAGGGGAGGGGGGGAGACCAAGGCCAGCCTCGGGCTCGCCCCGCTGCGCCTTCCCCAGGGCCCCCCACCCCAGGGGCGGCTGTGCCCCCACCCCAGGATGCCGAGGAGGTGGGTGGGACGAAGGGACCCCCCCCTGCTCCAGCACAGATTTGGGGGGGGGGCTGCATTGGCTCCTGCTCCCCAAGGTCAGTTTGGGTGGGCTAAGGCAAAGCCCGGCCGGCGCTCACGGCGAGGCGCGGGGACACACGGTTAAGACAGATGGATGGACAGGGGGGTCCTGGCCTTCATCCCTCCCCGCTGCYGCTCCTCCTCCTCCTCCTCTTCGCCGGGCTCAGAAAATATCCGGACACAAGCTCCAGTCCTGCTTCTCCTTGCTCTCCCAGTAGCCCCCCTTGTAGACGTGCGCCAGCTCCTGGGTCACCGGGTCCTTCTTCCGCTCAAACCACAGCGGTTTGTAGGGATCGCAGGGGGTCCCTGGGGGGCACAGCGGAGGTGAGGGCCTGGGGGTTACCCCAAAGGGGGACATCCCTGCCCGACAGCCCTGCCTTACCGTCCTCGGTGGCGCGGGCGGCCTCGGCCTCGCGGCGCTTGCGGGAGAGCCGTTGTTTCTCCTCCAGCCGCTGCTTCTCGGCGTTGGCCTCGTCCCACCTCCCGTTCTCCATCAGGCGCTGGTCGGGGCGCCGCCGGCTGTCYGTGGGGGCCGTCCCGTTCTCTGGGGCGTTCAGCGTCAGCGCCAGCTCCGAGAAGTAGTACATGTTTTCTGCATACTTCCTACAGCACGAGAASGAACAGGACTCAGCAGYAGCTCYACATCCCTGCTCCCTGGGATGCCTYGTTCCTGTTTTCCCCACTCACGGGAGCGGGTTCCGTTTCCACAGCAGCACCCGGCTGTCCTCGGCCTCGTGGGCCCGCGGCCGCGCCTCGGCTCCGTTGTCCCCYGGTCCCAGCTGGACCTTGTAGCAATCCATCTTCTCATCCCACGTGCCCAGCAAGACAAAATGCACCTTTCCCAAGGGGTCCATCACCTCCCCGGTCACCTGGCAGGAGAGGAGACAGACTGGATCAGGACATCCTGCGGTCACAAGCAGCCCGGGGTGTCCCAGGGCTCCATGTCCCTACCTTCCTCGCCACATCCCGGGAGAAGTAGCTGTAAGGGACAAACTTGAGGTTGCACTTGTCCCCTGTCTTGTGGTTGACAATCTCGATCTCACCTGACTGCGAAGGGGAGGGRACAGTTAGACCCAACCATGCCCCATTCCCCAGGGATCCACACCTTCAYACACTTCCCATCCATGACTTCCCACCTGGTCTATCCAGAGCTTCCCCACGATGATGTTGTGCACGGTGGTCGTCACCTTTTTCCACGTGTARTGGTTGCCAGAGGAGTGGAAGACGCAGTGGATGGTACCTGAGAGAGGGAAGTGGTGCTGGGAACCACACCTGGAGGCTCGAGTGGTCCCAAAAACCCCATGTGCTCCCGGGGTGCTCACCCAGAGGCATGATGGAGAGGTATTTCCCTCGGAATTTGCTGGTGATTTTGATTTCCTGGCGCAGCGTCCAGCCGTTCTTRGAGTCGGCGTGGTGGGCGGCAGCCGGGGGGTGGTGGCTCACCTGGACACAGGATTGGGGACAGCTCAGTGCCAGCCACCCTGACAGCACAGGAAAGGCCGTGAGAGAGGAGCTGGCCTCACCTGCTCGCAGAGGGAGCGGTATCCACTCTCCTCCAGGCGATCCAGCTCGAAGGTTTCCCCCAGGAGTGGGTTGAAGGGTTTGCTGGTGCGGAAGACGGTGGTGGAGTASGAGGACACGGTGAAGGCGGCCACGTAGCACAGCTGCTCCAGGGAGCTCTCGCACTTCGCTGCCCGATCCAGGAGCTCGTGGTATTCCAGGTCCTCTGTCAGCCGCTGCAGCATGGATAGCGGCTCGTTGAAATTCACCTGGAAGAGYGAAACAGATCAAAAAAACAGAGCGGTTCCAAGTGCCCTGCGCCCACCCGCCAGCTGCATCTGCACTCACCGGCATGGGAATTTTGGATAACTCCTTCCCGATGCAGTTCTTCATGATGCTCCAGAGRTTGAGGCTATAGTTGGGTTTGTAGGGAATGCGGGTTCTCTTCTCCTTCTTGGTGTCCTCAACCTGGTGCTTGTACTGGAGAGGAGGGAAACAAAGTTTGTTATATCCCTGTGACCCCCAAAACACTTCCATGGGAATTTGGGCACCCCCAAGCCATAAATCCCTATCTTACCTGCTCATCCAGGCTGATGTCACTGCTGGTGCCGCTGATGTTGCTCCCGGTTCTCCTGCAAGGGGGGAAAGGGGTGATCACTCCCAAGCAGGGCCGAGCAGTGAGGGGATCCCCCTCTCCCCCAAAACTCACTTGTGGCCCATGATGTCGGGCATGGGGAAGATCTCCGGGGCATCAAAGAACTCGTTGTTGTCGTCATCCTCGTCACTCAGGTCACCTTTGGCAGGGCAGCACAGATCTGGGAAAGAGAAGAGGGCTAGTGAGGAAGGGACAGCATCCCCAGTTCCCCACTGAAGGCTCCCCTGTCACCGCCAGCTAGATGAGGGGGTTACACCCCAACCCAGCTCCCAGGGGTGTCGGACAAGGCTCAGAGGAACCAGCCTGTAGGTGCCAAAGTCACTTGGCTACACAGGTGAGATGGGACAGATCATCCCTTGGGATCAGCACAGTGAGAGAAGCCGAACCTGGCTCAGAAAAGCCCCAGAAGCAACTGAGGGCCACCTGGGCCCAGCACTTGTCCCTTCCCACCTTTGCCGGAGCCGCCGGTGCCAGGCGTGCTGGCGGGGAGTACCGTGGCTCCCCGGAAAGCTCTTTCCAGGTGGTTGTGCTGCTTGGCCAGCTGCTCCAGYGTCTCCTCCAGCCGGATCCGCTGATCCCGCTCCTGCTGCAGCGATTTCTGCCACTTCTTCCCGTGCGTTTGCGCCAGGAGCATGAAATCCCGGCAGGCCTGCGGGAAAACCGTGCTCTGTCAGCGCACAACATGGAAGTGGGTCTTTTCCCACCATGGGATCCTCGGGATGGGGACTCACGTTGATCATGGCATTGGAGGTGATGCGGAAGAGCGTGGCCCGCTCGTTGACCTGCTTGATCTTGTCCGTGCTGTCCGGAGGGAGCCGCAGGGCCTCGAGCTCGCTGAGGGAGCGCTGCAGGGCCGTGCCGTGCTTGGCAATCAGGTCGTTGCAGGTGCTCAGGTCCTCYACTTTGCTGGATAAAATCCGCAGGGTGTTCTGCAGCTCTGTCTTGTCCGTCTGCGACACCGACTCGTCGCCGGAATCGTCTGTGGGTGGGAAGGGATGGGGAATGTGGGATTGTCACATCGCGCCGAGATCTGGTGGTGGGGCTGCCAGGAGGGGCATGGGGGATCCCCAAATTTCTGAGTGCTCCCAAACACTGGTCCATCTAYGTGTATGCCAGGCTGTTGGGGTCACATGTGCATGGACACAGCAATCCCCTTCCAAACCCTGCTGGACATGCTGGGATGCTGCCCAGGGCACTGGGATTCTGCCCTGGAGACACTGAGTTTGTAAGGAACTCAAAGCCYGCCCTAAGGACACTGATGCTGCCCAGTGGATCCTGCCYGGGGGCACTGGGATCCTGAGCCCTSTRGGGCTGGGATCCTGCCCTTGTCMTRTGAGGCACTGGGGTTCTGCCCTGGGGACACTGGGATCCTGTGGAACACTAATATCCTGCTGCCCTGGGTCCTGCAGGGTGCTGGGATCCTACCCTGACTCCTCCAAGCACCAGGATCCTACCCTGGGATTCCTGCAGCCASTGGGGCTCTGGGATCCTGCCCTGGGGCCTGTGTTGCACCGGGATCCCACCCGGGAAACATCGATCCTACCCTGGGCATTGCTGGGCACTGGAATTTCACCCTGAAGGCACAGGATTCTGCCCTGGGCCTAGTGGAATCCTACCCTGGGTCCTATTGTGCCCTGGGATTTCACCCTGATGGCACCATGACCCTGYCCCGGTTCCAGGAATTCTGTACCTGACTCCTCCAGCATCTTGACAGCCTTGGCCTTGGCTAGCTCAAGGGCAGTGACCCAACGCTGCCGCTCCACCTCAGAGCTGGCCTTGAGGTGGTAGGTCTGGGCTCCGCCATTGGAGATGATGAAATTGCAGGAATCCTCCACGGTGATGTTGGCCGTGGCCAGGTTGATGGTGCCGCGGCACGTGTGGCCCATCTCCGCCTTGGATCTGCGYGTGAAGGCCACAGTGAGGGAGGGACAGGGCCGGGATCCCCAGGATGAGCCCTCGGGGGGCCGCACAGGGGGCCCAGCATTCCTGGTCCGGCAGCCAGGGCTATTAATAGGGAGGGTTTGCCGGAAAAGGGCCAAGGCTGGGGATGTCACTATAAGGGGACAAATCTGCAGCCCCGGGAATTGCCTCAGGGATCCGGTGCTTCCCGGATCCTGGCACGGCCTGGGACGAGGGTGAAGTCCCAGCGAGGCCACGCCAGCCTGGCACTCCCCTTCCACGTCACCGTGACAGAGGTGACACCCAGCCGGGACACCCCCGGCCCTGCGACCCCCCCGTGGCCGGCGGTGTAACTGGAGCCGGCAGCTGCCGAAGGCTCCGGTTCCCCATCAATAATGGAGGAACACGGCACCCCCCGGACAGGCTCAGGTGTCCCCGCGGGTGACAACATACACGAGGCCACCGGGAAGTGTTGCTGGGAGGGACAGCGGGATCCGGGAGCTGCGAGAGACTGAAGGGGGTGCAGAACCCCCGGCCTCACCCTTTTCCCCCCAAATACCCACGGGAACAGGGATATGACAATCCCGGGGACGGGGAAGTGACAACCGCGCCCCTCTTCAGCTGGCACAGAGGGGCGACGGACAGTRGGCTAACGACCCTCCCCCCCGCCAGCAGCAGCCCCGGCGACCCGGAGGTGACATCCCTGGTGGCACGGAGGTGACAACCGCGGGGMCGCGGAGGTGATAGCCGCCCCCCTTCCCAGCTGGCAGCGAGAGCACCGAGCGCTGCCCAGCTCGGTGCGGGGGCCCAGACCCGCTTCCCTCACGCCGCGGGGGCTCAGCCCGGCCCCAAGGTCACGGGGGGCCCGTGGGGCGGCGGGGCGAGTCCCGATGCGTACCGGTAGTAGCTGAGCAGCCCATTGCTGAGCACGAACCAGCGGCGCTGGTATCCCTTGATGTAGTTGGTCCACTTGAAGAGCCAACCTTCGCGGGCCGAGCCGGGACCGGCCCCGCCGCCGCCCGCGCCAGCCCCGCCGCCCGTCGCCGTCGTCGGTGCCGCCGGTCCCGCCGTCGGTGCCGGTGCAGCCCCGACGCTCGCCG